TAAGACAATCCTCATTAATGCGCACACGCCAAGTTAAAAAAAAAAACTACTGCGATTACAAAGAAAAGAATGTAATAAACAGATGGAGTTGCTGGATCAATATTACTGAGATTGGATTGGTTGAAATCTAGTTAAAATTGGACTGGATTGACCAATTAATTTTGATCGGTTAAATTGGATATTGATGATCACATGAGTAGTCTATTGCATTATTTGAAAAGATCAAAGATTCAAGACCTTGTAAATCAGAACTAAACAACAAAAAAAAAAAAGACAGGTAAAATTATGAAAGGAACACCTTGATTCAGAAAGAAGGTGCATTCAGCATTTTGTGCACAAAGTTTATGTCGAGTATATTTCTACGTATGGTTTCAGGCTTTCAGCTCATAAGATATATTTTAATAAGTTTACATGTACACAGCATGATCATACACTCCACACAGCTGTAAATTATTAACAAATAGTAAGCATTGACTTATAAAAGTGAAAGGCATCAAAAAATCCAAAACAGAAGAAAAAAAAGGGACGCAGTGGTGGTGGTGGAATATTATTCGATTCTTTTCTTTAGCCTGAAGAAGAAGGCATATTAATTATTCCCTAACACACATGTCAACCTAGTTTTGACTTGGTTCCAACAAAACATTTTAGAACATTCCCTTCCTTTAGTTTCATTTTTTTTTTTGGTTGGGATTCCGTGTGACTAACGTTTTGAAAGTTAATTTGACGTTATGATAGGAAGAAATTGAAGCCTTAACACACGCATATATTTTGTCCTTGTTTAGTTGTTGTCTTCCACAGAAAAAGGTTGCGGTTGTGAGTTGTGACGAAATCTGTGCACTCATGCCATACAACTGCTCGTGTCTGGTTTGCGACCAGTTGGCATATTTTTACTTGGCTTCCATCGATAATGATTTTGGTGGAGGCTCTCTCTGCTTTTAAATAATATTATTTATCCAAAATCTTGTTAATGAATTTGGTGGGGTGTAAGAAAACAGCAAAGATTATGTTGAGGAAAATATTATTATTTTAGACTCTCGTTTTCAATGGCAATACAATACAATATATTATTAGTCTTGTATTATTATGTTAGATTATGTTGGTTGAAAACAATGGGAAGAAGTTTTACAAGTCCATAGATAAGTCAATGCGGAGAAAATTCAAGAGATCGAAACATGTATATTTATAAACATATCATTTTATATGTTTGTGCATTTTTTTTACTTGATAATAATTACGACGAGTAAGATTTCTATAAAACCGTGCTATAAATAAATTAATTCTTATAAACTTACACCTGAATTTTCCATATCACTTGCCTACACTGTAGAAGCTGCATATAATCAATGTAAAAATTGTATTTCTATTTCACATCTATGTGGGATTAATATTAGTCTTAGAATTGCTATAAAACAAATTACTTTTATCGATGTTAAATGTTTCTCTTGCCCTAGTTAGGTAAATGTAAATCTTTATTTAACATCATAAATGATTTACAAATCACTTTCTGAAATTTAATTTCAAAAACGTGTTTAATACATTCAGACTTTAATTTTAAAAATGGTTAAAAATCACTTTAAAACTATAATTTTGGAATGTATTGAGGAACTTTTTAAAAATTTAATTTTAAAATATTTTTGTAAATTTATTGAAAAAGGAATTCAGGAAGTAATTTATAAATCACTTTTTAAAAAAATATTTTCAGAAAATATTTAATATTTAAAATTATAATTTAGAAAGATTAATTAAAAACCCTTTCAAAATTTCAGTTTCACAATATTTTAAACACTACTAAAAGTTGGTTAAATAATTATTTGTAAATTAATTTCCAAACTTTCATTCCAGAAGAGTTATAAATCACATCCAACTATAAATTTCAAAAAGGGATCTAAAATCTTTTTGAAATATATTAAATATTTTTCTTAAATTAAACTTTTGTAAGTAATTCCAAATCAAATCACTTTTGCAATAAAATCGTTAGAAAGTTGATTAAAAAATTCTAAAATTAAAGTTTTAAAAATGTTTAAACATTTTTGAAAATTTGATTTTAGAATTGTTGAATATTATTTTAGAATTAAGTTTTAAAAGTGATTTTTAAATAAATATATGGATTTAAATAAATTTACGCATAACTTGGTAATTGGTATACATAAATTGATTTACGCATAACGCATTCATACACATAAATATACTTGCGAGTAAATTGTAAACACAGGAATGAGCTAAATTTTGTTATTCAGTCCTCCATAAAAACACTAGAATTTTAACGTGCATTTAATGTTGAGATAAACCTAAGCCAGTTTTGAAAGAGTTGGTGTTGGTTGAGGACGTAAACCAGATGGAGCAAATGAATATGGTTAACTTAACTAGCTGCAGGCATTTTGGTGGTAACTAGGCATTGGCATTGGCATTGAATATTCTATTAAAGAAACAAAATAGTTCTCTTTCAGAATTGTTTCCCTCGTACTAGTGCTGGGGACCAATACAAGAAACGATAACAATGAATAAAAGTGGTCCTAGCGAGGAAGCAATAAGGACGGTAACCCAGGTGAATAGCTGGCCAATGCAAAGTGGGAACAAACTAATTGCAAGGGGGCCAAAAGATCCAACACCATGCAATAGTTCTTATTCGTACGTAGCTCCTCACATAGGCCAAAACTTGTTAAATCAATTCACCGTATCCTCTTCCTTTCCTTTCCTTTCAATAATGCAGATGCACGCTTTGCTTTGCTACCTTCACCAACGAATCGTCCCCCACACGAAAAGGACTATCATTTTAATTAATAGTGTATGTTACATCTAGAATAATCCTGTATACATATATTTCCCTCACATGCATTTCTAAATCCTTTATTAATGTACATAAGCTCTGCACCACACCTTTAGTTTTATGATGAAAAAAATAATTATTTTTGTTTAGTTCTCTCTTTTACAGTAAAAATAGTACTTGAAAGAGATAATCTACCATATAGCACTTGAGAGGGAGAGAGGGAGGGAGGGAGGGGGCTCCACTTTCTTTCTTCAAATATTTGAGCAAAGATTTCTGTTGTCTTCTAATAATTACCACTGCTTTGAGCTAGATGACAGAAATATTTTTGTCCTCCAATACGACAAGATTCATAAACAAACCATGCATTGATATTGGTGTTTTTTTTTTATCTTTATTATTTTCGTGTTGGGTTTTATGCTTGAACGTGATTGGATAATTCGTACATACCGATAGAACAGAGCGTGTTTGTAGCGGACGACGCTTTATGAGAAGCCATTTAAAAAAAAAAATTTGTTCATCCAAATAACTTGCAACTTATCTGGCACATAAAAGAAAAAGAGAGAAGAAAAAAATATAGAATAATAAATAATACGATGTAATTAGAAGATATAGATAATAAATGTATACAAAATAATGAGATATCCAACTATCATTACATAAAATAAAAAAATTAAAAAAACAACAAAAAAAAGTTTTTTCTACTTTGACCTGGGAGATCACAAAGTTACAAAGTCTTCATCAACTAGTAATAGTAATTAATTTTGAGTTATTTTATTTCTATAATATTTTTCATAATAACTATTAAATCTTTTTTCATTATGTTATTGAATATATTTTGCGTTTTTTAATTTCTTTCTAATTATAAAAAATATGAGTAAAAAGAAAATCTCATAAACTTTTCATGGATTAACTATTTGTTGAATATCGTACGTGGGCTTGATTAAGTTAAGAATATTCTTTCCTCTTCGTTTCTTTCTTCAGTTTTTTTCCCTGAATTTTGACTTATTTAATCGCAAGCTGCCAAGTGCCAAGTAAGGAGATTAAAGAACCCTGCAGACTCGGATGGTTTAGAGCCACTAAAAATGGAAACGATCGAGTTTTTATCAAATTTATTAAAGGAATCAATGTAGTCTATTCTCTAACTAAGCTATCAGCAAGTATTATCTTGATAAAATTCTCGTGGAACAAAAATCCAAGCGTTCTGCAGTTTTCCCTAGGTCTTCTTGCACTGTAGTTGGCTAGCTAGTTGCAACATCTTTCACTTTAAGAAAAGGTTTTTTTTTTTCTTGTCCTTATATGGTGTATATTCTTATTGTTTGAATACAGAGAAAAATATGAAAGAAAGAAGTAAGAGAGAAAGAGAAAATAAATAGAAAATAGACAGGTTTTTAAAATGTTTGAATTAAAAGAGTTTGTTTGATTTAGGAAAGAAAGAAAGAAAAAAGTTAGATGAATGTGTAATAAGTTGTTTTACAAGAAAGTAAAATTAAATAAAAAAATCTCTTGATTATAATTGGATAGAAAGTGTATATATATATATATATATATATATATATATATAAAAGGAGCACCAGAAGTGCTAAAGGAGGTACAAGAAAAGGGCATAAAGCCTCATTGTTACTATATATCTTTAAGAAAAACAAAATTCAGTTCAGATTATAGAGAAAATTTCTGTAAAATTTGAGGATTTTCACTTCTTTATAAACCCTCATTGTTAAATAATAGATACTCCAACTACAACCATATCTAACTAATTAAGTCTCAGAATTTTTCTGAAACTTGTTTATTTATTATGTGTATTTTTGTGCGTGCCTCTGAAATCAGTGTGGAGGTTGATTTATTCCTTTTTCCTTTTTTAATTATGCCCAGAAGATATCAATTCTCTATATATATATATATATATATATATATAAGGAAAAAAAATGTAGTTATAGCTCAAATTATTTTAAGGAAAATAATAATTATTTATTTCTTTTAATATTATTGAGAGTTTTGGAAGAAAAAAAATGATTATTTATTTACATTCAAACTAAAAGAACATGTTTAAAAGTATATGTGATGAGTGGTGTGATTAAAAAAGAAAAACATAAAGCTACATGTAAAAATGTAGAAATATTCAATGTTATTTTACTATTACCCTTAAGGTGGCAAGACAACCAATAAATGAAGACCTTATGTGGTCCACACTCGTCATCTCGTTTCTAGTTTTTCTATTTATATCAAGTAGTTGTGGATACTCCTTGGCTTCTCTCAACACAACCTTTTTGAACATCACTTATATCTCTCTCCAAATTTCCTTGAACTTATGAACGAAAGTTGGAGTGAGGGAAAAAGGAGCATGAATTACAAGGAGGAGGAAGAGTACGAAGAAGAGGAGGAAGAAGAGAGTGAAGGTTATGGAGAAGATGATAGGAAGAAGAGGGTGGTGACTACTAAGAGAGGGTCCAAAGCTGGAGGCTCAGTGCCACCTTCTTGTCAAGTGGATGGTTGTAATGCTGATCTAAGTGATGCTAAGCCTTATCACAGGCGTCACAAAGTTTGTGAGTACCATGCCAAGGCTCCTGCAGTACTCATTGCAGACCAGCACCAAAGATTTTGCCAACAATGTAGTAGGTAGGTTGAGAAACCTTAATCTGTATATTATTTGAAGTAATTAATTAAAGTATTCCTTTGTGTGTTTGTGTGTGGGTGGGGGGAGGGGAGATTTAACATCTAGTATGTATGAAGGAGTATGGTTAGAATTGTTTTGTTTATACCTTTGCTCTTTCCAATTAACCCTAGCCAAAGACAATTCTTATGATATATATACTTGGTTGAAGTGTCAACTATGAAATGTGTCTAAGCTTGTATTGTTTTTAAAATTTAGTTAATTTTTTATTCATTTTCATTCTCACTCCTACACAGCACAGTTAGCTAGTCTCGGAATAGTGAATATTGACTACAATACCATAATTATGCATTAAGGACCACTTTTACATTTATACAACTCATGAGCACATATTATATAACTATTTATGGACTGTTCTCAAATTTAATCCTATAACTCCTACATTCTGCACAAAGGTACGTACCATATATTTTAGATGAGTAATTATTTGTGCTAAAACAGGGATGTTTGTCTGCATTCAAAGATAGCACAGAATTGTTAATTAATTGGAATTTTAATACACCAAGTATATATAGCATTTTCACTTAATTTTGTTGTAATGCTTAATCCATGAACATGACAAAACAAAAGGGTAGTTTTAATTCATGAAATTGGAAGATCTTCCCTGTAGATGGCAAATAGAGATGATTGCATATCATTTTATTATCGACAACTTTGATCTAGGCATGTGATTTAATTAGGGTAATACAAACTCATCAATATATGACATATTAATTCTTCCATTTAAAAAAAATAAAATTAAACAATATCAATCAAGAACCATTTATTTTACAATTTCAAGCTACTGAATTCACAACCAAATAGATTTATATCCACAATTTTAATTCTTTATGTTTTGAGGAAAAATATGTTTAAATACGTTTTTGTTCTTTCAATCATTATAATTATACGATTTCATCTCCAAAATTCTAATTAAGTAATGTTAGTTCTTCAAAACATTGCAGTTGTAAATTTTAGTTTTTAAATTTTAATCGAGTAATTTTAGTCTTTTAAATATTAGAATTGTGATTTTAATTTCTATACTAAAAGTTATTGATATTAATTTATTAATAATATAATAATAATAAATTATCTAAATTTTATTTATTGTGTATTAATAAATATATATGTATGATACTTTAATGATAATTATAATATATATGTAACTTAAAAAAGTTAATTTTTCAATTTAAAAAAAACTATATATATATATATATATATATATATATATAATTTTCAAATTATTATATTTTAAATGAGAGAAACTAAAATTATTCAACTAAAATTTGAGAAACTAAAATTACACAATTGTAATATTTGAGGACTAAAATTTTTCAATTAAAAGTTTGGAGACCAAAATCACACAATTACAATATATAAGATTAAAAATGCAATTGAGTAAAAAAAATGAGAATGTAAAGTATATTTTTTATAAATTAAAATTAACTCATAAAATTTAACTTTTATATAAACTCTCTTATCTTATTTTCACAAAAATTAAGGTATATAAGTTATTTTTAATTTATAAAAAAAAACTTTAATTCATTTTACTCTCTTATTTTCTTTACTTATAAATGTTTATGCATACAAACATGACCTAAATCAAATATAAGTTTGCACCTCTGAACTACTCCTTTTGTATACTAAATAAACCAAGAAACATTATAATGTTCTTTGTGAGAACAAAATTCTATGTATCTCTAGAAAATTGTCGATGAGTTCACTTTGAAATAATTTCATTTTTCAGGTTTCATGAGCTATCGGAATTTGATGATTCAAAAAGGAGTTGCAGAAGACGTTTGGCTGGACATAATGAAAGGCGTCGCAAAAATGCATCTGAGTATCATGGACTTTGATGAATAAGACAAAAATGAATGTTGAGGCTAGATAATATTACAATAACAAAAACAAAAAGCCTTTTGTCATTAGGTGAACAAGGCAAGCAGCAACAAAATGATATAAATAAATTCTTCCATAAATCAATCATGTTATTGGTCTATGAAAAACTCTCTATCTTCTGTCAATTTTTTATCATATTATTATAAAAGTTATATCTAAGAAAATATTATTATTATTATATATATATATATATATTTGGCGTGTATTTCAAATAAATATATATATATACATGCGCACATGTACGTGCATACTTGTTAAATTTCTTTTCATATAACTTTCTTTAACATCAGTATATATTGAAGTGTATGATCAATGTCCCAAAATTAAATGAATTCATTGTCATTTGAACAAATAAATTGAATAACAAATATCGGTGTGTTGCATTATAATTTTAGGTTAACTAATGTTGTTAAATCATTAATTTTTAAAAATTAATAATTATTGAAATAAAATTATTTACTGTCAAAGATTTTTTTTATTTTTCTTTCTTTCTTTAATTTTTAATGTAATATTCTAAAACAGAAACATATGTGACCTTTCATTTAGGCAATTTTTTCTTAATAAGTTTTGGAAAATGAACCAATGTATGTACTATTTTTTCATCTTAACAGTTATATTTTCAACTTTCAACTTAGAGGTCGATGGTGTTTTACCTATCTAAATTATTATTTTTCTTAAATATGTTTTTTAGTTTGAGTATTTATCATAAGTTCAAAGCTAACTTATTACAAGATATTAGAACTTGGTTTTATAAATTTAAACAGACCATGTGTTTTGATATTTAAAAATAAAATAATTAAAATAATATTTAATTAACAAGTGAAACACCAATTTGTATATACTTACACGTCACTACTACATTTATCATTTGAATTTCACCACTTCAATAATAAATTTCATTATCTTACTAATTTTATTATTTATATTTAGTATAACTCATATTAATTATACTAAATATATTTTTTTTCAAAATTATTTCAACAATAAAAATATATTGAATTAATTTAAATTTTATTTACATAAACATATTTATAAAATAGTAAACAAACATATATATATATATACTCACCATTATATATTAAATATGAATAGAATATTTTTAAACTTATATATCATATATTATATATTATATTTTTAGAAAAAAATTTAATTCCTTATTTATTTTAATTTTCATTCATCATATTGATTTTTAAATTAAATTTAATAATTTTAAAATAAATTACCAATAATTAAAATAATTTTATAATATGATATAAATTATTTTTTACAAATATAAAATATGATATACAAATTAAAAATTATATAAATTTTAATTTAATACAATTTATATATTAAAATATAATATTTTTATATATAATTTATTAGAAAATAATTAATATATAATAAACATTTAACATGTCCTGAACAAATAATTATGTACAAACTCATATGCAAGACACACGTTACTTGGGTTTAAAATCTATATTCAATGTGTATAAGTATCATCTAGATAGTTAATAGGTGTGACTCGATGCTTGAAAATTTGAAAAGATACGAGGATTTTTTTTTTTCTTTTCTTTAATTTTTTACATTTGAAATACTTCATAAATTAATCTTTAAAAAAATTAATTTCTAATTATGTTATCAATTATTAGTTATCACGTCCAACTATTTTGAGAAGCTGGTTGTGAGAGAAACAAGCAAATTGGAAATAACTATTTTATTTCTAAAAAAATTATGTAAATTATGATCCACAAAACCTAGCACTTGCTTATTCTGAAAATGACTTAACTTTGTCATGAAGCTTGTTAAGTAATACCGACAAATTCCTTCAATTCCTTTCACAACTCCATAGAATCTACATTTAAAAATTTACAAATTAACACAGTATATGACTAGATTCTAAACTACTCAATCAATCATATTAATATATGACAAAACTTTTAACACCACCCACTTTAAGTGTCTTTGTTCAACCGGAATTGGAGAAAAAGTTCAGACAAAAAATACAAACACTTGTGTAGACCTAGTGCTTAGGAAGTGAATGGTGAGAAATTAGATGCTCCTAATTTCAATTTTCTGCCATCTGTAGTCCCTATCAGAGCCCCAAGTAGTTGAATTAAAAATTAAAATTAAAATTTCAATCTGCTTTCAGATTTTTTTTTTCCAACAAGCATCCTGGCACTCAGTAACAGAACAGAATTCAAGGAATAATTGTCAAATATAATTTCATAAACCCATTAAAAATTGAGTGGATAAAAATTGAACTGTGCATGTCCCCGTGAATTTATCCGTGAGTGAATCATTTGCATTGAACATTAAAGTAACCTCGTTAGAAATAGACCTTCGTAAATGTATTTGTTTATATTTGCATAAAATTAATTTAAAAATTAAAGGTGTAATTGTATTTAGATGGTAATGGTAAGATTTTGGTCCTCAAAATTTTAATTGTATAATTTTAGTCTCTTATATTTTATAAATTGTGCAATTTTAATCATCAAATTTTAATTAAATAATTTAAATTTTTCAATATAATTTTACAATTTTAGTCTCTTAAGTATTGTAATTATATAGTTTTGACTTATTTAAGTTACATATACTATAATCTTCATTAATCATGTTTTAGATAATATATATTTATTATTACTAAATTTAATCATGCAATTTAAATCAGTCAAATATTGTATAATTAAGATACTTGAGGTGCTAAAATCACTTAATTATAGTACTCAAGACACTAAAATTATTTAATTAAAAATTGAGGGATAAAAAATTATATAATTATAATACTTGGGTGACTAAAATTGCTCAATGTATTTGAAAAATACATTTTAATAATGAGTTTAAAAGAAATTATAACTTATTTTTACTTCTAATCTTTTTAATTTAAGTTGTGTGTAATTTTAATTTCACAAGATTTTCAAAAATAATTAGGTTTCTATATTATTTAAATTAAGCATTTTTTTTAAAGTCCTGCTCTTAATTTTCTTCTACCTTAATCTGATGTGTTTCGACCGACCGAATATCCGCGGAGCCATAACTTCTGTAAAAGAATGTGATAGAAAGAACAGCGGAAAATTTTTTTTTTACTTACACCACTTTTTATTTCCTGCAAGTATTGAAGGTGAAATTATATAAAAAAGAAATGATAGGTAATTTTGTAATAAGATTAAATGTGTTTTTATTCTTTAAAAAAAAAAAAAAAAAAAAACATGTACCTTTAATTTCTGTTTCCACAATAAATAAGGGAGAGTTGCTGCTATACCCTAAAAAATGAAGAGGTTTTTGTACATTTTTCTGTGTGGACCAATAAAATTTTTTGAAAAAGCTAATTTAATTACAAAATGAGTATTTTATATTATATTTATATAATAAAAAGTAGGACAAAATTATAAAGATTAAAAATATAAGATTATAATAATACTATGAAAACATTAAAAGAAAGAAAAGAATTAACAAACAATAGAAGTGAAAAACTAATTTATACTATAGAAATTAAAAAATTTAAGATAAAAAGACAAAAATATGCTTAAAAATTATTAAAAGTAGAATTTTCTTAAATAAGGATCTATCATATAAGTATTCAAAGTTAAAAATTGTTCTTTCTATCTCTGGTGTGTTAAAACTTAAATTCTATCATCATATCCTTATTATGCACACACCCACAAGAATCAGTAATCACTGTTGAGTTAAACATAGACATTGGCTATTGTCCCTCGACATGGAGCCAACAAAAAAAGGGTCGGCCAGAGACCAACAACACTTGTCATAATCAATATTGTAAAAAATCAGATTTATCAAATTTGAAAAGAGTCAGAAAAAATGGTTCGATCTTCTTATTTGAATTTCTTGAACAGAGAGATTCATGAATCGGGATCCTAGTGCATATAAATACAAATAGTCTAATGAGAGCAATAATTTCCAGGAATATTTGAACTATTTCATTTATGAGCAGAATAGCCGTTTTCAAGTAGTGCCCAAATTGTAATAATTTACTTAACAAACTAATTGAACTAAGGAATTGACTCGAATCAAATCCGTCGATTTTTGAAGAAAAAAAAACATGTGAATCAATAAAATGGTTAGGATTTCAATTTTTTTCAAAATAAATAAATAAATACAAATGACTTTGCAAACTTTTTATCTTAAAGTGTTGATAATTTAAATATAAATTTTGCATGTTGATGTTATTTGTTTTTTTTTTAACTTATTTTGTGAACTTTGTTACAACATACTTGATTTATAAACTTTATTAAGATAAATTTAGTTTAATTGTAATTTTGAGTATTGAGCACTTAATAATGTCAATGGTTTTATATTTGAAGTATGAAAGTGTATTATTATGAACCATTGATTTTAAATTTGATGTTTTGGACATGTGATATTTATTATTTTGTATGATAATTTTATTTTTATCATATGAAATATCTTAAGTTATATTAATTGTATTATTTATTTTTTAATATAAATCAATTTAACTTATTCAACAAATATTCCTTCAATTTGATACTAAACCATCAAACTACTACCTAAACCAGTTCAATAATCATTTAATCGTAACCCAAATGTGAAGAATTGTATCACTCTTTGACTTTTGAAAGATACAAAACTCCACAAGCTTCGAGCCTAAGTAGACAAGAAAACTTAAGTCACTACTAGCATGACTTAAGATCCTAGAAATTATTGATACAACTATATATAAAATTTTAATAATTCAATTTTAAAATTAAAAATTCTTATTAAATAAATCAAATCAACAAAATTTATATAATTTCAAAGCTATTTGACATCTCATTAAATAAATTTAATATATAACATACTTTTTTAAAATACAAATCAATGTTAACTATGAGATTATGTATTCTTCTGTCAAGAAAAAACCTATTATGTACTTGTAGATGTTCAATTTATCTAAACTTTGATATATGCATAATCCTTGAAATATTATGAAAGTATTCAATAGTTGAAATATTGGAATTATTATATACAAAAAGTTATTGATCGAAATAATTCTATCAAAAGTTACTTCTTCGATAAATTGATCTCCATCCAAAATACAAAACAAACAAAAAAAACAGTTTTATGTAAAATCAGCTTTAAACTTTAAT